AGAGAGAGAGAGAGAGAGAGAGAGAGAGAGAGAGAGAGAGAGAGAGATCACAACGGTTTATCCACATCAGCTTTATTCCCCCCCGCACTTCAGATAGCTTAAAGTGCGAATAACTCTTCTGGGAGACACTGTTACATTTTGCCATTTCTTTTCTCTTTCTCTTTTTTAACCTCTGTGTGATGTTGCTTTCCTTATTTACAAATTTCCTCTACTTTGTATCCAAATGGAGCCTATTAGTCATTTGCTTTACAAAGTAGCAAGGGACTTAAGGCAAACAATTCATCATCAATCCCACAGCCGCCACCCCCCCACCCCCCACCTCCACCCCCGCCTGTCCTGAGGTGTTAAAATTCCTCCTCTAAAACATTTCCAAACAGCTACACACTTTACTACATAACAAGGTTACAAGTTCTTTATTTATTAATGAATTTTAATAATTGGCTTTCTGTTTCTCCCACATGATAACCACGCTACATCTAGTTTGTTACAGAACGGCCTGCTTACCTTATTTGCATATTTGTAGCAAAGTATGGAAAAGAGTAAAGATGTTTAGCTTACTATTTACATAAAGCTGATTTTAGTCAGGTAGGGATTCTGAATCGGATACCTTAACACTTCTAACTTTTGAAAGCGGAGCTTCATGCGTTTTAATGATTTCTAGGGCTGACAACATTTGGTTTGCCTTCCAAAGTGTTTATACTGTCCCCAATAACACTTGGCGAATGCTGTCGTCTTCGGCTAAATCCTCACTTCGGGGGCATGCTATGCCTCTGTGAGACAGGGTCAGGAGGTCAGAATTGATTTTGGAGGCCACCTGGAGAGTCCAGGCCACGAACTGACTCAAAAAATTTATATCAGAGCCGGAATAGACCACCTCCCACGGTCAGATCTGGCCTGACACTCCAACCACAGGCCCAGCCTTGCAGACGGGCTTGGGGAGAGGGCAGAGTTGTCGACCCCAAGAGCTGACCTCTTCAAACTTCAGGAGAATTTTTTTGGCAGTTACCACGGTGACTGGGTACTCTAAAGGCTTATCCTTCTTACTGAATGGAGGAGGAAAAAAAATAGGAAAAAATATGTTAAAACCTACCTCATAGACATGTGTATCACAGTTAACGTTTTTTAAAAGAATGAGGATGGCCTTGACTTGTTTATACTTTGGATATTAATAAAGACCTGAAAGATGCTCTTTCAAATTACAAAATTTGATGTTTGAAGTATATACTGTTTTCATGTTTGTTGTGTGCCTGTCTGTCTTTTTCTTTTTTCTCCTTTTTTTTTTGGGGGGGGGGGGAGACCCACATTGCTGACAACATACGAATAAGGCATAAGCAAACCTTTTTTTTTTTGGTATGAGCAAACCTTTTAAACAATGCAATAGTCTTGGAAATCCTAATATCACCCTGCTCCTTTCAGAGAATAATCAGCTATTGGAGGGAAATTTCTAAATAAACATTTTTGCCTCAAAAACAGGCTCAAGGTAATTTTTCCCCTTGAGTGAAGGTTCTCCATTGTGCCTCCCTTGAAATAATAAATGTAGGGGAAGAAAGCAAAGAAGTATTGTCATTACATACTTTATTACATGTAACAGATGACCTCACAAAAATAGTACATACGTTAAAGACAACACTCATGGCTGGAGAGATGGCTCAGCCAATTAAGACCACTGGCCACTATTCGGAGGACCCAGGTTCAATTCCCAATACCTACATAGCAACTCACACTTGTCTGTAACTCAAGTCCCAGGGGATCCAATGCTCTCTTGTGATTTCCATGGGCACCAGGCATGCATGAGATATACAGACATAAGAGCAGACCAAACACCTACACACACACACACACACACACACACACACACACACACACACACACCACCACCACCAACAACAACAACAACAAAACAACTCTGGCAATACTTTACACATAACAAAGAATACACAGAGGGGAAAAAATACTTTGTTTTAGAGCAGTGACTACTGAAGCTTAAAATAAGCAGCAGAGTTAGGCGTGGTGGTGCACATCTTTAATCCCAGCGTCTGGGAAGGCAGAGGCAGATCTCTGTGAGTTCCAGGCCAGCCTGGTCTACAGAGTGAGTTCCCAGACAGCCAGGGCTACACAGAGAAACCCTGTCTGGGAAACAAAAGAAAACAAAAACAAAAACAAAACTACAACAAAAACCCCAACCTAGCAAATGCTCTTTCATGTTAATGCCAAATTCGACCTTGTCCTAAAGTCCCAGACAACATAAATACTTACTTAGTCAGGTTCAGTCCCTCAGAGCAAATGCACACACATCAGAACGGATACTACCTGACTTTTGGTCACAGGTTAGAACACAACACTTTTAAAAATAGTTCCTGGATGTAACATAAAATTAAGTGAGAATTATAATTCTGTTTTGTTTTGTTTTTTTAAACTCGGAAGGCTAAGGATGAGATTCTCTGGGGGAGGGGTTGTTTAACACCAGTGAGATCCTGAGTATGAGTCTTCAGCCCTACAAAACATTAGCAATGACAAACCAACTAGACAGCTGAACCATAACTTTTGTGAAATGAAATCACAGACTTTCAATGGTGTTGTTGCTCCGACCCACCCTTAATTTTCTCACCTACCGCCTGATCTGAAGACTCTGGACCCCTCCCCCCAACCTCTTGGGTGCCTGCTATGTGCTCACTCATGTGTACCAGTGTTTAAGAGCACTTACACACACACACACACACACACACACACACACACACACACACACACACACACCATCGAGCACCGGAGAAGCCAGTGTTGATTGGCATTTAAAGAAGCATTGGCTATATAATAAAACAATGTCTTTGGTCTAAATATCTTTTTTTTTTCTCCTGGAAGTGACAGCACCTTTACTCCCAGATCAAAGCCATCTTCAGCTACATCAAGTTCAAGGTCAGCTTGGAATATAGGAGAGCCTGTTTCACAAAATAAATAAAGAAGTAGATACGGATCTTTTCCATATTGATTCTAAGTGCCCTCCTAAAAGATGAATTACCGAAATGTAATAACTGTCACACCCAAATGATACAGAAGTGACCGAGAAGTGTTCTAAGCTGATCTTGAATGTGCATTCTGCTGTGACCTATTTTTACTGTTTCATAATCACCACTGGCTTCCTGGAATAGAATGCACATAAATCTATGTGTTCAGTAAGTTGTCTTTTGTGTATGTGTGGTGTGTGTGTGTGTGTGTGTGTGTGTGTGTGTGTGTGTGTGTGTGTTTTGAAACAGAGTCTCTTATTTTGTAGCCCTGACTGTCCTGTTACTCTCTATATAGAGATAGACCAGGATGGCCTCGAACCCCTGAGTGCTGGGATCAGAGGTGTGAGCCACCATGCCCAACTGGTTGTTTGTTATTTCTGAAACAGCATCTTGCAGTGTGGCTTGGGGTAGCCTCCTGCCTCAACCTCTCTAGGGCTGAGACTACAGGCATGTATCCCTGATTAATTTATCTGAATTTTGAAAGGAAACAGAAGGTAACTCAGGAGCCATTTCTTTTCTTGTCTTTTTCTCAGAACAACCACAGAAGGAAATGCTCCAGATGCAGCTCTAGCTCACCTCGCTGTGTTACCAAATGCAAGTTGCTAAGATCTTCCAGAGAGAATGTGGTTCTCCGCTGTGTGAGTCACTAAAACCGTGGGGCCACCCATTGTCTGAGATGAACTCACATGGTCCTTCCAGCGTGGGACCTCCTGGTAAGCTTCTCACAGGGCCCGGGGCTGACCAATAGGACCACAAATGGAAAATGAGGTCTGCCTTAGTTTTGCAAGAGACGCCTGAATTCTTAGACCAAAGCAACCAGTCAGATTCTTTTAAATGGGTCTTGAGGAGAATTTCTAGATTCAATCTGAAAAAGAAAAAAAAAAGTTATAAGTCCTATATTCCCAAGACCCCCCTATTAGCTTCTTCAGCTTTAAGATTCTTCTCTCAGAAAATAAAAAGTCATTTTACATGCCTTTAATCCCAGCACTCAGGAGGCAAGGGCTGGCAGATCTCTGAGTTCGAGGCTAGCCTGGTCTACAAAGTGAGTTTTAGGACTACCAGGGCTACACAGAGAAACCCTGTCTCCCAAAACCAAAATCCAAAAAAAGAGGTAATTTTTCATTTTCCTTTCTTCCTTCTGGGATAGCCTTGAACTTGTTATGTAGCCAAGCACGACCTTGAACTTCAGAATGTCCTGCTTCCTCCTCTCAAGTGCTGGTTTATTCCGGACTGGAGATCCAGCTCCGGGCTTCCTGCACTCTAGAAAAGCATTTTAGCAGCTGAGCTGAGCCCTCGTTTTTCAGTTTTGTGCATAAACATCTGTGCAGTGATACAGATGTTTTGTTTAGTAGCTGCCCGAGCCGGACACTCTCTGATGGTGACAACCCACCAGCGTGCTGTGGTGTGGAGCACACAGTAAAACCTACAGATACATTTCTAGGTGCAAAGTCTGAACTCCTGAGGCCCCACTGGCTGGAACCTGTTCAGACCTAGCTGGCGTCTCCCTGCCTGCTCAGTGTCATCACAGGCCAGGGACCCTGAACCCTACAACATCAGCAGATATCTTGGAGCCCTGGAGTCCTTCAGGTACCAAATGCAAAACTCCTTAAGTTACTCTTCCCAAAAATAACCTGTGCAGAAGAGAGACCTCCTGAAACCAGATGTAAAGCAACAAACTCCAAAAAAACTGCCTTGACAAGCTTCCAAACTCTCAGGAAGTATACCGTATGGAACACAGCAAGGTCCTGGTGCTGATGGTATTTCTCCAGCTAATTTTCACTCTTGAGTTGTTATAGCCAATAAACACTGACCCACAAGTTTTCTTTAGGTGGCCCGGTGGTCTCCTCTCGGTTGGGTTTGTAATTAGGTGTCAAGCAGGAGGGCTGTGGCCTTAGTTATCTATCTCGCCTACCAGGCACAGGAGAGACTGTCCAAATAGCCAGGAGCCATGAGACCCAGGATGACTGCCCATCCCAAAATGACTTCACTGTGTTGCTTCAGCACCACCCTGTGTGACTCCAGCTTTGCTGTCTGTCTCCAGGATCCAAGAACCCTGACAACAGAGTGAAAAGAAGCCTGTAGGAAAACATGTGACTGTGGCCCACGCCGCTGGCTGCCACTCGGGGACCGCTTTCAGATGTAACACTCGCTCTCTACAGAGCTGCCCCAAATTTCTCTTAGTCATTACTTTTGGGGGGTAATTTCTCTTCTAACTTGTCATTACTTTTTTTTGTCCAACTTTTAGGACAATAATCATGATTTAATTCTGAAAAGTTTCCGGGGGGTGGGGGGGGAAGGCAGGGGCTGAGATGAGAAATGGGTTAGGAGAAAGATGTCTATTTCTTATTCCTTGTCCTCCTCCTTCCTCCTCGTTTCTTTTGATAGGGTTTGATGTATCCCAGGCTGGTCTGGAACTCACTGTGCGGGTGAGAAAGACGTTCAGTTTCTGATTCTCCTGCCTCCTCGACCCTAGTGCTGGGATTACAGGTGTGCACCACTATGCTCTCTGTGGGGCTGGGGCGCAGCTCAGTTGGTGGAAAGCTTGCCTAGCATGTAAAGGCCCTGGGTTCCATCCTTCACTGCATAAACCAGGTATGGTGGCACACGGCTGTAATGCCAGTATTCAGGGGGGGGGGGGTTAGGAGGTTTAGAAGCTCAAGGTTATTCTCAGCTACATAGTGAGTTCTAGGCCAAGCTAGGCTACATGAGACCGTCTCAAAATCAAGTGGAAATAAGAATAAGAGTCCAGAGCTGACCACAGAGAAGGAAGAGGGCAAGGGCTCAGGAGTGAAGGAATGGAAATGTCCCTTCCTTCTTGTCCCTGATGTGGCTGTAGCAAGCTGGATGGCTTTCAGCTACAGATGGAGGCAGATCTGGATGAGGGGTGGGGCACACTGCAGGTTTCCAGTTGTGCTCTGGTCTGCACAGACCGTGGGGTACCTTTCAGCATCCGGTGCTCTCTTCCTGCATCCAGGGCTGACTCTGGCTCTTCGTCCCTGTCACCACACAGTCCCAGTGGAGCCGCTCACTCCTCCACCTGCATTTACGCTTTCTGAACACACACGTCCACGTCTTCAGTGTCCTACAGTTTTTCTTGGCCCGGGTTCTTTTGTTTGAGATCCTGGGACCTTGGGATTCACTGGACTTCAGCTGACATCAGTATGCTGCCTGTGTCTTCCCGTAGAGAAGACAATGCCCGAGAGGAAAGTGCTACATTCCCCTGTGGACACACTGGAAGAATGTGTGAACATCAAGTTATTTAAGAACGAAATAGGAGTCTGAAGATCTTTTAAGGTCCCTCTGTCACGGCCTCCTCCACCCATCCCACACTGCTAACGGCTGCCCTCATTGTGCTCATAATCATAAATCTAGAAGTAACTTTATTATTTATTTGCTTATTAGATTGATTTATTTATGTATTTTATGTATATGAGTGTTCTATTTGCATGAGCGCCTGCAGGCCAGAAGAGGGCATCAGATTCCATTCCAGATGGTTGTGAGCCACCATGTGGGTGCTGGGAGTTGAACTCTGGACCTCTGGAAGAACAGTCAGTACTCTTAACCCCTGAGCCATCTCTCCAGCCCCTATTTATATATCTATGTTAATTTATTATTCTCTCATATATTACATCTTGATTGCAGTTTCTCCCCCTCCTTTCCTCCCACTCCCCTCTCCTCCAGACCCACTCCCCCCTCCATTTCCCTTCAGAAAAGGTCAGGCCCCCCAGGAATATCAACCAGACATGGCATAACAGGCTACAGTAAGACTAGGCTCATATCTCATATCAAGGCTGGATGAGGCAGCCCAGTAGGAGGAAAAGGTTTCCAAAAGCAGACAAAAGACTCAGAGACACCCCACTCCCACTGTTAGGAGTCCCACGAGAACACCCAGCTACATAACCATAACATATATGCAGGGGACCTAGCACATAGGGCCCATGATTGCTGGAGAAGTAACATTAAACACCTACAATGACCTACATGTGCATTTGGGTTTTTTTTTTTTTTTTTTAAAGAGAGAGAGGGATTTATCTTTATTTTATTTTCAAGACAGGGTTTCTCTGTGTAGCCCTGGCTGTCCTGGAACTTGTTCTGTTTATCAGGCTGTTTATCAAGCGATCCACTTGCCTCTGCATTCCAACTGCTAGGTAGGATTAAAGGCGCCCAGCTTTATTTTTATTTTCTTTTGTGTGTGTATACACACACACACACACACACACACACACACACACACACACACACACAAGAATACTGATGTTCTACTAAGGGCAGAGGGCATCAGATTCTCCAGAGCTAGAGTTATTGACAGCTGTAAACTGCCTGACATGGGGACTGGGAACTGAACTCAGGTCCTCTGCAAGGACAGCAAGTGTTCTTAACTAATGAGCCATCTCTCTATCTCTTAATGCACACTTAGAATATAAGATACTATTTCTCTCAAGGCTGATGCATCCAATTGTTGATCATAGGATTCAAATTAAACAGCCAGTCCTATCCCTTCTCGGAGGGCTGAGTTAGCGGCTATAAAAGTTCAGATTCAGAACTGAATTCCCCTTTGCATTTTCTCGGGCTTGCATTGCGATCTTGGCCCTTTGATTGCGGCACAGCACTCGAATTAAGAGTCACCTTGCTAAACTGGACTCTTCTCACTTCTGTGGTGCTGTGAACTACATTGTCATAAAATCAATAGGAAAACCTCAGCTGTCACGGATCCTAAACAACTCCTAGCCACAGAAATAACGCCAACTGGCATTTCCGAGTTGGAAAATGTGCTGTTTGGATGACAAGAGCAGATCTACCCAAACGGCTTTAAATTTCCTGATCTCTGTGAGTGCGGAGGCCTGCCCCCACTGGGAGACTGAGATCCCGGAATCCGCTTTGCTCCTGGTTAGAGACCAGGTGTTCCCTTTCTTCTTTCAGAAACAACCACAGGGGCCAGCACAGCATATTGAGATGTGGGACTCAAAGCTATTTCTAAGCTCTTCTAAGTTGGCTTTCATAGAATTTATAACAGGATTTCAAATTAGGTATTTTTTTTTCTTTCCTGCACCAATGAAAAATTCAGATTTGGATTTAAAAGTAGAATTCGGAAACTAAGTGCTGAACAGTTTCAAAGCCTGTCTGCACGGCCACTGCCAGGCCACGGCAGTATTAAACTCAGCAACTCCGAAAACAAGGGCACATTTTTGAACTGTAAACATAGCAGCTACCAATTGCCTCTGTCCCGACCTCGCCATTCCGGAAGACGTGCTCAACCTTGCTGCAGTCGTCTTCAAGCATGCTAGCCTACCATTCATAGGAGAGAAGAGGAACCCATGTGACTGCACCTGTTAGTTCCATTTTATCTGTGACACGCTGCTTTCCGCTCACCTCAGTGACTTGTTTCATGGGAGCTCATTTAAAAACCTGTTACTGGCTGCACCCACCCTGGAGTCCATTTGGAGACTTTGATTATGCAGGAAACATGTTAACTCATCCCCAAACCTTGCTAAGAAGGTATATGACCATGGCACACTACAAATCGGTTGCACACTATAGGTAAAGATATTCTCTGATGACTCTGTCACAGAGTCTGCACAGCAAACAGCACAATTGTTCAGTGCCTGTGTCAAACTACCCATGTAAGTAAGTAAATACATACAATACATACTTAAGAAAGCTAGAGGGAGGCTGGTGGTGGCGGTGGCGCATGCCCTTAATCCCATCACTTGGGAGGCAGAGGCAGGTGCAGCTCTGTGAGTTCGACGCTAGCTTGATCCATAGAGTGAGTTCCAGGAGAGCCAGAGCTACACAGAAAAACCCTGTCTTGAACCACTGCCCCCAGCCCCCGCCCAAAAAAAGCAAAGGGAAACCAGACATTAGCAATCGAAGTGACACAATATAGCATGGATGTGTGACACTTGTCATTTCTAAACTAAGGCCGTTGGAGTTTGTATTTCTTACTTCTGCCATCATTAAGATCTTTGATCTAAGAATGAAGCATACTACCTGTAATCTGCTCAGCTTGCTGGAGTCAAGGTTTGTATGTTGTACCCACTTAGCTCTGGAAGGAAACAGAACTTGGGCTTCTGTAAAAAGCCAGTATTTCAAACTAGCCTCATTTTACAAGCTCTCAGAAGTCTCCAACTTGCCAGGCAGTGGTGGCACACAACTTTAGTCCAAGCACTTGGGAGGCACAGGCCAGAGCTCACTGAGAGATCAGAGTTCAAACTTAGAGATCTCTGGGTTTAAGGCCAGCCTGGTCTACAGAGTACGTTTCAGAACAGCCTGGGCTACACAGAGAACCCTGTCTCGAAAAACACACAAACAAATGGGAAAAGGTCTCTGACTCATTCCCAATAGTCTTTTGAGACAGGGACCCAGGCCTAGGCCGGCTTTGAACTTGTGCCTCCCAAGTGCTAGGATTACAGACGTGCACCACTACACTCAGTTTATGCTGTGCTCTAATTCGAACCAATGCTTTGTGCGCGTCAGACAGGCACTCTATCAACCAAGTGAGATCCTCAATTCATTCGCTCTCTTGGCCACTTTACTGTAGGACTGTGGGCACTGCAGAGTTTATCTACACTCACAGTTCATGGGTGAGAAGGGAACAGAAGGGACAAAGCCCACACAGGTACCAAGACACTATTTCAGACAAGTGTCACCAGTGGAAGTCAGGACCGAGCACATCATACCAGCTGCAATTGGGTTAACTCTGATGTTTAGCTGTAACTGGACACTTGATCAGTTAGCTTTTCTTGCCATTGTAGGAAATGACTAAATCCCATCCCAATCTGAATGGGTGGGAAGAGGGGGGCTTGTAAAACTAGCCCTGCTTCCCTAAATTTGATAGAGTGTTCCTCCATATAGCCAAGGCTGACCTCAAATCTCCAATGTCTGAGCCTCTTGTCTCCAGCTCCCACCTCCTAAATTCCAAACCAGGGGTGTGAGTCAATACACTGAATGCACAGAACGTCCTAAGTCCTCATAAGGGTCTGGCCACCCCCATATATATGCCTTCTGAGGCAGTTCCCTAAGCTTTCTCTTGACTTAATTTTACAGACATATCTGAGTCTCCACTGATCTGTTTAAATAGCACACGGTGTACACCAGACAAGAGTCTTGTGCCACCAATTTTGGCACATTGTTTCTTCTATAATTCTTGTCCTCATCCAAGCAAGGCACCACAAAAGGCTAATTTCCAGCCCTGAAAACATACTTAAAGTACAAAAATCATTACATCAGCAAAATATACATGAAGTTCCAAGGTTATAGATTTGAAATCCTCTGGTTCCATCCACCAGATGGGGACCCAGGTATGACGGTCCCCTGCAGATACCAAGTTCTAGACTAATGGTATAGAGACTCTGCCCCTGGAGCACTCTGTCCTTGGGGATTCAAAAAGGGAAAGATTTCAATGTTCACTTGCTAGAATTACTACAGTTCATAAGAGTCCAGGATGCACCTCTTTTCTCTCTCTCTCTCTCTCTCCCTCTCTCTCTCTCTCTCTCTCTCTCTCTCTCTCTCTCTCTCTCTCTCTCTCTCTCTCACTTACTCTTCTTGGTCACTAAGAAAATACATCTTAAAAGGAATTCTCCTCTAGGCAGCTCACTAAGAGCAGACAGAGCAGGATTTCTCTTCTGGGAAGTGTGAGCACTTGTTGGTCTCTGGGTTAGGGGCGGGGTTTGAGAGATTCGACCTCTGCCTGCCCTTGCAAGTTGTGGGGTTGTAGATTGGCAGCCGCTCTGTGGAGGCAGGGCCAGGGATAGCAGGGGTCAGCGAGGTTGAGATGTATTCAAATGTAAATTTACACCTGAAAAGACAGAATGGAGTCACCCACTTGGGGGGTGATTTGAGTTTCTTGTGAATACACGCCCTGAGTGCTTCCTCGGAAAAGATGAAAGTTGCAGCAGAGGGGAACGCGGTCCAGAAGTGACGGAGCAGGAAGAAAGGAGGGAGCAGAGACAGCTTTGATGAGCAGAAGAAATGAGTTCGGCCACCGGTTGTAAATCTGTTTCCAACTTTTCCTTTTCAAGGCAGTTTTGAGATACAATAGCATGGCGGTAATTTCTGCCTTACTAAATATTTGGAGATTGTCTATGAAATCAAAAAAAAAAAAAAAAAAAGAATATTCAAATAAAAAAAACCAGCCTCTTTTTTCCGGGCATTTGAATGGGTTTTCTTGCTGTGTAATAGTCTTTTCTCTTTAATGACTGCTACCTGCCTTGCTTAGTGGAATCCCAAAGTAC